CCGGTTTTATTGGAGATAGGAGTCTCACAGTCTTTCCTGCCCCAGCTGGCTTTGAACCACGATCCTCAGATCTCAGCCTCCTGAGTAGCTAGGATTACAGGCGTGACCCACCAGCGCCTGGCTTAAAAACACAATTTTTTTTTAAAAGGAGCAGAGGGTAGGAATAGATTCTGTGACCTGTTAACAATATTCTTTTGTTCTTATTTTTCACACAAACATGCATTCATTTTATTATTGGATATGGAGAACTACTTTCATTTAAGAAAAAAATCATTTTTTTGTCAGTCATGGGGCATGAACTCCAGGCCTGGGTGCTGTCTCAGTGCTCCTCAGCTGAAGGCAAGTGCTCTACCACTTGAGCTACAGTACCACGTCCGGTTTTCTGGTGGTTAATTGGAAATAAGAGTCTTAAGGAATTTCCTGCCCCCACTCGCTTTGAACTCTGATCCTCAGATCTCAGCCTTTTGAGTAGTTAGGATTACAGGCATAAGCCCCCAGTTCCTGGCAAGATTCAGTAATTTTGTAGCCATGTATCAGAAGCAATAGTTCTCAAGACTTGAGTTTTACATAAGTCACTCAAGAATATCTTAATATTTCCTACATCTTATCACCTGCCAATCACTTTCTTAGAGTTTATATCTCTGGTAACATGCTATGACCAAGTAGGCTTTATTTCTGGATTACAAGGATAGCTCAATGTTAGGAAGCCATTCATTCAATAATTTACTTATTCAGAACATTTGCTGAACACCTACTCTTTGCTGGGTATTGTTCTCAATGCTGTGGCTATGGTGGTGAGAAAACTTGTCCCCAATCTCTAGTCCATGGCCCTTAACTCTAGTGAAAGAGATAAGCAATTAATGAGATCAATGAAATGTATTGAATACTGATTATGTTAAGTACAAAAGAAGAAAAATAAAAGGCAGGAAAAGATAACATGAAATCAAGATGGGATGACCGTTTAGAAAAGTTATCGTTGAAAATGTGATACTTATGTATTGGAGTATTATTCAGCCATAAAGAACAAAACTATATTTGCTTGCAGAAAAGTATATGAAGCTAGAGATCATTATGGTAGGCAAAATAAGCCAAACTCAGAAAGACAAATATGCATGTTTATCCTCATCTGCAAAATTTCTTTCAAAAAATAGAAGATATGATAGTAGGAGTACTATTAGGAAAGTGGATGGATATAGAATGAGGGCAAGGGAGAAATGAAAGGATAACAGAGGGTGTATATGATCAGAATACATTACATACATGTTTGAAAATGTCACAATGAAGCCATTACTTTAGACAATGAATATATACCCCACAGGTAATATATATATATATATATATATATATATATATATATATACACTATATATGTAATATGAAGAAAGTTTGCCCTTGAGAAAATCTAAAGTTAGTAAGGAATATATGGTCAAGTATAAGGGAAGATCATCCTGGATAGGATGCAGGCAAACACAAATGCTCCATGAAGGGACTAGTCCAGAGATATCAAGGAAATCAGATGACTAGTGAGAGAGCAATAGAAAATAAAGCAGAAATGTAATAAGGTTTGAGCACAGTATGTAGAGCTTTGTCAATTGTAGTAAGAACATTTATATTTACTGTAAACAACACAAGGAGGGATGCAGAGAGTTCATCATGTCTGGATGTTTGAGAATAAACTATAGAGTGACAAGAATAACAGGGAGACTGGTCTATCTGTATCATTCATTACAAAAGCAAACCAGTGATGAAAATCCCCTTACAAAGTATTTGACAAAGTAAGTCAACAATTCTTTATTTAAAAATGACAAGTAAAATAGAAATGGGGGAAACTTTATTTAGTAAAGGATTATGTGTAATTTAATTATTAATTCTTGATTAAATTAAATTCAAGGAAAATGCCTTTAACCTTACAAAGAATATATCAGAAGTTCATTTATCTGTCAAATTCATTACCTCCCTGTGAACTACCAACATCACACAACTCATGTCTTGCCTCCATTCAAAAGTCTTCAGAAAAGAAAAGAGAAAGTGGCATAAAAATTGCAAAGGAACAGGCTGGGAAGGTGGCTCAGTGGTAGAGTGCTTGCCTTGCGTGCCTGAGGCCCTGGGTTCAATTCCTCAGCACCACACAAGCAAAACAGAAAAAAGCCAGAAGTGGCACTGTGGCTCAAGTGGTAGAGCGCTAGCCTTGAGATGAAGAGCTGCGGGACAGCGCCCAGGCCCAGAGTTCAGGCCCCACAACTGGACCAAAAAAAAAAAATTGCAAAGGAAGAAGTGAAAGACTATTTTTAGACAATGAAATACACCATATATCTAGACAAATCAAAAGCATCACCTAAAAAATTGCAAAATTTACAAATATAATACATTTTCTCTTAAACAGAAAATTTCCTACCAGAAATTGTACTTCAAAAGATAGCATTTCAATCCAGAATGAGTCTGAAATACTTGAGAAAATTTTAACATGTAATACAAATTACTTTACTGAAGAATTTTGCAAAATTTGATTAAAAACACAAAAATGGAATGGAGTAGTTTAAAGTTTACAAATATGAAAGGGAGTAGCGGGACAGCATCTTTAACCTTTTTGACAGGGCAAGGAGGATTGCAGTGTCCTGTACTTCTCATAGCATTGGCTTTCATTAAACTAGAACTTAATCCATGGACAGATATTTAAAACTATTATGGTTATAGGCATCAGATTTCAGGAGATTCACACAACAGTCAGCAATGGTTTAGAAATGTTAAACGAATTTCTCTAACAAAATAAGATCTACATTTATCCAACTTAAAATCTGCCTCAGTAGGAGGAAAAAGTAGGATATTGTGTGTCCAAAACAGATAAAACAGGACAACTGGGCCTATCTTCATGGAACAATTTATAGATTATATGGAAATATGCTTAATTTCATTGGGAAAATTTTTGATTTTAGATGTTCAAATATGTCAGTATGCTGTGGAAGCTATTTTCTATGAGGCCAATAGAATTTGATTTCTATGTGGTAACACTAACTACAATTAATGGTGCTTTCTTATAGAAATTGGAAATAGTCTTTCTTTTTCTTCAACAAACAATGCCTGTCCTTTCTTACCATCTCCTACATTGAATTCTTGTTTTGTAATATTTTCTTCCTGTAAAAATATAGTGAGTTGGATCAGGAATGTGGCTTAGTGGTAGAGTGCTTGCCTACCATGCATGAAGTCCTGGGTTCCATTCCTCAGTGCCACATAAACAGAAAAAGCCAGAAGTGGCACTGTGGTTCAAGTGATAGAGTGCTAGTCTTGAGAAAAAGAGAAAAAGCAGCTCAGGGACAGTGCCCAGGCCCTGAGTTCAAGTCCCAGAAGTCCCAGGACTGGCAAATATATACATAATGAGTTAAAGGTTTTAAAAACAAACCACAAATATTCTAGATATATAGCTGTCTCAAACTCATTCCTTGTCTTCTTAGTGACATCAATGCCTTATTTTTATTAGAGCAGAAGGTCAATTGCAAGGGCAATGGTTGGAACTAACCAGGTAAGTAGTTGAAGGTGGAGTGAGGCAAGAATATCTAGTAACCCAGGAAAAGGTAAGAAAATTCCGAAAGAACAAATAAAATAAATTTTAAAAATTGTCAGTAGCTCTTTAAAAAGTGAAGCACCTTCCCAGGAACCAGTGAAAGGCAAATTCTTACAGGGAAAGTGTACTTTGGGCTTCCTGGACTACAGAGGCAAAGGATGAGTGACAGGACCTAATGTGGTGGGGTGAGGTGGGAGTACGAAAAAAGGAGGGGGCTCCTGCTCTTGGTGGGAGTGGAAATTGGGGGATCCAAGCTTACTGGCAGCGCAGCCCTCACGTGACCAGGAGCTGACGTGGGCAAAGATACTTAAAGCTCTGACCACAGGCCCCCAGTCCTCCACCGGGTACCAAACTCCTCCATTGCACTCCGCACTGCTGGGCGTGGAGGAGGAGGAGGAAGAGGAGGAGAAGAAGGAGGAGGAGAAAATTACCCCAGATCTCGGCAGGTGGGTGAGTGTGAATATGGTCTGGGACCTCTTGGATGGGGTAGACTAGGGGTGCGGACGCTTCTGCCTCGACCGCTCCGGGTGGGCTTTCCAGACCCCTGGCTATCAGATACAGTTCGTTTGGGTAGGCGACAAGAAAAGAGGGAGGCGGAACGAAAAGAAAAATCTAAATACGCTTACTGAAAAATCTGCTTGCTTCCTCTACCAGTGTTTTTTGTTTTTCTTTTGTTTTTAGCACTCAGGCCTGCACCCACACGCGGTCCTGTATGCAGAGGAGTGAAGAGAAATAAACGTGGCAGCCGCGCATGCAAGGCCAGCGGGGAGGTTGGGAACGGGTGATGGGGGGCGGGCAAGCAATTTGGAAACAATCTGAATCTTTCAATGACACCCGCGCTTTCCAGATACCTCCCGTTGCCACCGACCCCGCCCTCTCCCCTCTCCGGGCCAGCCCTCTGCCCCTTGGGGATGCTAGGAAATGGGTGTGCCTCCTTCTGTAGGAGGGACGGCGAGTTTGGTGCTGCCGGGCTTCAACAGGAGATCAGGGTGGGAGGTGGGGAGGTGAATCTACTATTATATCGCCGCACTAACTCCAACACTGCTTTCCAGATACCTCTGGCCCACACAGCCCTTCACCGTCATCTTTTTTTATCGTGGAAAAGGAATTCGGGTATGCTAGAAGGAGAAATGGCGGTTATTGGAGGATTTCGGGGGAGGGGGGTGAGAGGCGGAGCCCAGAGCAAAGAACCTACGAAAAATCATAATTCTGAACCTAACAAGCCCTTGTTCTGCGGAATGATGCAAGGCCTAGAGACCTTGGAATAAAGAATGTCTGACAATAGGAGGGAGACCATAGAATTTGCTGGCAAGAACGCCCCTTGCTGCTGCAGCTGCTCCAGCTTTGCCTGCACCCTCGCCCCGCCCCCTCCCACCAAGGGCTTCGGTGCAGAAGGAGGGGTGTGGCAGTGTGTCTGGAAGAAATGGCGGCCGGGGCGGGGCAAAGTGGAAGGAGCAGTTGAGTGAGTAGCTTGTAAGCAATTGGGGAGGGGGAATTGGAGTGGGATGTGAGGAGTGAAAGCCTTAAATTTGTAGGGATTGATAGGCGAGATCGTTGTACATTCTGGTTTATAAATACTCAAAAGCAATTACTGGACACTGGTCCTGAGTGCTGATTGTCCCCCAGGCTTTCTGTCTGCAGTCTGTGTATCTGCCCTTCAGGTCCACCCTTAGACTGAAGCTCTAACTGAACTGAAGGAAGGAGAAACAGCCTCCCTGAATTCTTGAAGGTCAGTATTTTGGAGGGAAATTGTGTGAGGAACCCCTGGTGTGGATGTAGCAGACACCAGAACAGAATTATAAACCAATGAATCCTCCTGCATTTACTTTCTAACATACCTATGCCTAGCCTGTACTTTTTGGTGCAGGACAAGGGGTGTGGCATCTGCTTTTTTAGTTAATAGATAAGGGAAAATGGGTGAGGAGAAAAGGAAAAGCTCAGAGTGGGGGAACTTTTTGGCCCACAGGAATGTAAATCAAGATAAAAAGAAAGAACCACAATCTGTCCACCAAAGCCTCAAAAACGTTCTGTGATCCATCTACAGGTCTGTCAGACTTAGGCTCTGTGTACCTACAAGCACAGTGGAAAACAGCAAGCAGCTACTGATCCCTGGAAGCTGGTATGTGCTTGAGCACTGTCTAGGGACATTTGGGTAGGGGTAGAAACATCTAAGCTGAATCTGAAATTGCCTGTTCTACACCAGCTTTCTGTACTATACTCACCCCACTCGCTCATTTAGGGTCAGGGAAACTGCAGGCATTGGCCATGAGAGGACAACATAGATCTGAAGACATGACCTAGCCTCTAAATAAGGAAATATAGGCCTTGGCACCTGTGTCTAGGTGGTAGCCCACCCAACTACCATTGTGTCCTCAAACTGTCTCTTAAATTGGCCTTGTTAGAAACAGTAAGCCAATGTGCCAAGTTTAATTTAAACATGTTCCCCTAGGTCCTGCTCAGCTACAAAACCTTGGCAGAACTCGAGATCTGAGCTGAAGACCCTCACCTTGAAGTGAATTCATCTCATTTGGGCAGGCCAGTTCCACACCCTGGATCAGAGAATCACTCCAGCTGTACCATGAGCCGTGTTCGGGATGCTGGCTGTGTAGCTGCAGGGATAGTGATTGGGGCTGGTGCCTGGTACTGTGTCTACAAATATACCAGGGGAAAAGACCAGAAGAAGAAGAGACTGGCCAAGCCCAAGAATCGGGCTGCAGCAGGAACTGGAGCCAGGGCTAGAGCTGGGTTAAAGGCTGGATTCACAATTGACCTTGGGCCAGACTTCAGTCCTCCCATGCCAATCAGTGTTGAGGCAGAAGACCAGGCCCAAGAGGAAGCCTCCACTTTTGATATGGCTGGGGCTGAGGCAGCGCACCCAGCTGCATCCAGTACAGAGGCTCAATGTGGGGCAGGAAGTCAGACCCAGGAGAAAGATGAGGTTGGGGTTAGGCCTAAAGCTGAATCAGTAGTTGGAGCTGCAGCAGCTTCTGCAATGGTACCACTTGCTAAGGTGGCAGAGACTGCCACTGCTGCAGAGGTCCCCACAATAGCTGATGCTCCTAAAGTGGCAGAAGCTCCCAGGACAACTGAGGTTTCTGGGCCCACAGCCCCTCCCAAGGCTGCAGCAGCTTCCGAGCCAGGAACTGCTCTCAGAGTAGCACCATCTCCTGGGGCAGCAACACCTCCCAAAGCAGCAGTGCCTCCTGGGGGAGCAGCACCTCCCAGGGCAGTAGCACCTCCCAGGGCAGCAGCACCTCCCAGAGCAGCAGCACCTCTCAGGGCAACAGAACCTCCTGGGGCAACAGTACCTCCTAGAGCAGCAGCGCATCCCAGGGCAGCAGCACCTGGCAAGGCAGCAACACCTGGCAAGGCAGCAGCACCTCCCAGGGCAGGAACGTCTCACATGCCAGCAGCCACAGAGGTTGTGGAGGTTCCTCGGGTGGCAGCAACTACTGAGGCCACTGGGGCTTCAGGAAAGGCACTTGTAGAGGTGGCTGAGGCACTTCTCCCTGTAACACCGGCTGGAGCAGCAGCACCTGCTGGAACTACAGAGGCCCCTGGGACTTCAGGGTCCCTTAGGATAGCAGCAGCTGCCAAGAAAGCAACCCCTGGGGCTCATACTGGGGCTATACCTAAGGCTGGGCCAGCTACTGGAGCTGTACCCAAAGGTGGTGCCAAAGGAGCAACCAGGTCCCGGAATGGAGGCAAAGGCAAGAACAAGAAAAATAAGGTTGAAGTAGATGAATTAGGAATGGGCTTCCGCCCTGGGGATGGGGCTGCAGCAGCTGCTGCAGCTTCTGCTAATGGAGGACAGGCTTTCTTAGCAGAGGTCCTTGATTCTGAGGAAGGGGAGTCCGGGTGGACTGACACAGAATCAGATTCAGACTCTGAACCTGAGATTCAGCACAGAGGAAGGGGGAAAAGATCTGTTGCAATGCAGAAACGCCCCTTTCCTTATGAAATTGATGAGATTCTGGGTGTCCGGGACCTCAGGAAAGTCCTTGCCTTGCTTCAGAAATCTGATGATCCTTTCATCCAACAAGTAGCTTTGCTCACCCTGAGCAACAATGCCAATTATTCCTGTAATCAAGAGACAATTCGCAAGTTGGGAGGCCTCCCAATTATTGCAAACATGATCAACAAAACTGATCCTCATATTAAGGAAAAAGCCTTAATGGCCATGAATAACCTGAGTGAAAACTATGAAAACCAGGGCCGGTTGCAGGTGTATATGAATAAAGTGATGGATGATATTATGGCTTCTAACCTGAATTCAGCAGTACAGGTAGTTGGACTAAAATTTTTAACAAATATGACTATTACTAATGACTACCAGCATCTGCTCGTCAATTCAATTGCAAACTTTTTCCGATTGTTATCTCAGGGAGGTGGAAAAATCAAGGTTGAGATTCTGAAAATACTTTCAAATTTCGCTGAAAATCCAGATATGCTAAAAAAACTTCTCAGTACCCAAGTACCATCATCATTTAGTTCCTTGTATAATTCTTACGTGGAATCAGAAATTCTTATTAATGCTCTCACTCTCTTTGAGATTATCTATGACAATCTCAGAGCAGAGGTGTTCAACTACAGAGAATTCAACAAAGGTTCCCTCTTTTACTTATGTACTACATCTGGAGTGTGTGTTAAGAAAATCCGAGCCCTAGCAAATCATCATGACCTCCTGGTGAAAGTGAAAGTTATAAAATTAGTGAACAAATTCTGATTGCTATGTGTTTTCTTAAGAGACTTGAATTTCTTGGTTTTTGTGGTAGGGAAATATTGAAAATTGGAAGTTACTGTTTTTCCATTTGTTTAAATAGTAAAAGGGATCTTTTCAGCTGCCAGTTTTGAATAATGTATCATCCAGTGTGATGTTATCTGTGACAGTCGCCAGCTTTAAGCTGAACCATTTTATGAATACCAAATAGTCCTCTTGTACTAAAAACACATTTGTGAATTTAATTTGCTGCTTGGATGGAATATTTTTACTAGTTCCTCTATGTGAATTGATTGTGAGCCTGTCCCTGAATGGCCTACTCTGCTTGTTTTGACTTGAATATATCCACCAAAGACTTCATTTGTGTATCATCAATAAAAGTGTATGTTTCAGATAACAAGAAACTGTTCTTGTGCTTAAATGAAAATTACAAAGAGAACTAACAGTACTTGCTGTTTGTTAGCATTTGCTTATTGTCAGATATATGCTGTCTGGTTAAGGGAAGCAGAGTTTTCTGAGAAAGCTTTAATAAAGAATGGTACACTTAAGCTTGGGCTGAAAGGAGACATAGCAGGGCAGTCCAGAAAGGTAAAATGGCTCAAAGAAAGGCAAGGAATAGGGAACTCTGTTCTTATGATAAGTAAGGAAGCCATGTTGCTTGGAATAGAAGTTGTGGGAGGAGTGATGAGTAAATAAAGATGGTAATTTAGAATGAGGAAAAAAGGAAGATTTTGACCCCCCAAGATGAAATAATATCATTCTATGAGAAATAGGAAATTAAGAAAATGAAAAATAAATGGAGAGAACAAGGGAAGGGGTAACATTGTCTAAAAAGAAATAGTCCTGACTTATGTAACTATAACCCTTCTGTTCAACACCTTTATAGTGTGTGTGTGTGTGTGTGTGTGTGTGTGTGTGTGTGTGTGTGTGAAAAGAAAAGGAACAATAAACTGACAGCAATGTGCCAGAAGGATTGGAACTGGAATAGACTTAAAGGTAGAGACTGGAAATTAGAACATTTTATAGAAGTTTGTAATAAATTAAGAATAAAATAATGAAAAGTAAGGTGAAGATGTACCTAAAGGAAATGCTAAGTTATGCTACTTACAGAAGATATACAAGAGTGGTAAATCACCTAAATCTGCCACCTGACACTTCACTGTGGACCAATAAAGAGGTAGTATGATCTGGTGCATGGGAGAGAAAAATCCCTTTGTCAAAACCAATTGTGGAGACAGTACATTTGCCAAATGAGCTCTCATTTGGAATAGGAAAAGTCAGCATAGCAGAGAGTGTTGGTATAGACCACTGGCCTAGTTCCTTAGGGGTAGAGGTGTAAGTTGGCCTTCCTGTGAAAGAAAGACCTTTCTTGAAAAGTTTACTATGGCTTCTGAGTTATCTTGGAAACAATGGATCTTCCTTCTTACCCTCTCTGGCCCACTGAATCAGAAAGGAAAATTCCCACAGGGTTTCCCAAACCCAGCTTTCATTTCTGGTACTTTTAATTTTTATGCAGATGTATGGTAGGTTAGTGGAGGACTCGAAATAGAAACTGGAATAGAACCATAGATAGATAGATAGATAGATAGATAGATAGATAGATAGATAGATAGATAGATAGGTAGGTAGAAAGGGGACAGATTGGTGTTTTCTACTGGAGGAAAACTTAGTAATCTTCCTAAAAAGCTTTAAAGATATACCTGCTATTTATCTAAACATTTTACTTGTACAATTTTTCCCTAAGAAAATATTCTAATTATACGTAAAGGGATAAATCTACAAATCCATTCATTTAAACGTCTCTAAGAGAGGAAAACTAGAAGGAAGTTACATGTGTAACATCATAGTTTGCCTAACAACACAAGTTATGTTTATTGATAAAAATATTATATTTGGGCATGGATGGCTCACACCTGTAATCCTAGCTAATCAGGAGGCTGAGATCTGAGGATCATGGCTCAAAGCCAGCCGGGGCCCAAAAGTGCCAGTGAGAATCTCCAATTAATCTCCAATTAACCACTCAAAAACTGGAAGTGATGCTGTGGCTCAAAGGAGCTCAGGGAAAGTGTCCAGGCCCTGAGTTCAAGCTCAACAACTGACAAAAAATATGAACAACTATTATAAATAAGCAAGAGGTAGAGATGTTATTCTGTGATACAGTACTTGCCTAGCATGTGTGAGGTTCTGATTTCAAACCCTAGGTCGCTCCAGACCAAGAAAACCTTAGATCACAGTGACTATAGTTAATACACTATATTATATACTTGAAAATTACTGTAAGAGTAGAATTTGAAGTGTTCTAACAAAAGCAAAAATGACTGTGTGAGGTAATGTATATGTTACGTAGACTGATTTAACCATTCCACAATGTAAACACACATTAGAAAAATCATGTTGTGCCCCCAAAATGAAGGGACCTTTCTTTGTCAACAACAAACTTAAAGGAACCATGATATACTTTTAGATAGACATTAAAAGGTATTCACCATATATAAGGTCCTAAAATATCAAGCTAGGCACTGGTAGCTCACACCTCTAATCCTCACTACTCAGGAGGCTGAGATCCTAGGATCCTGGTTTGAAGCCAGTCTGGGAAGTCAAATATGAGATACTCTTATCTCTAATTGACTAGCAAAAAAACCAGAGGAGGAGGTATAGCTCAAGTGCTAGAGTACCAGCCTTGAGAAAATAAGCTAAAGGATAGCACATAGGCCCTCAGTTCAAGCCCCAGTAGCTATACATTAAAAAGTTGCAGTTAGGATAGAAATAAACAAGATAACATTTTTTGTGTGTATGTCTGCATTAATGCTTGAATTCAGGGTCTGGGTACTGTAAATCAGATTTTATGCTCAAGACTGGCACTTGACCTCTTGAATTTTAGCTCTACTTCCAACTTTTTGATGGTTAATTGGAGATATGAGTCTAGTGAATTTTTCTGCTCAGGCTGGCTTTGAACAGTGATCCTCAGATCTCAGCCTCTTAAGTAGCTAGGATTGGAGATGTGAGCCACTGGCCCTCAGCTAGGATAATATTTTTAAACCATGAGCTAGGAATGGAAGCATATATCTATAATAGTAGCACTCAAAGGAATAGGATTTTTAAGTTCAAGGCTAGCCTGGGCTAAATAGAAATACCTAGTTTCATAGAGTGTAAGTAGTGTAATTTTTTTTTTTTTTTTTGTCGGTCGTGGGGCTTGAACTCTGGGCCTGGGCGCTGTCCCTCAGCTCTTCAGCTCAAGGCGAGCGCTCTACCACTTGAGCTATAGCGCCACTTCCGGTTTTCTGGTGGTTTATTGGAGATAGGAGTCTCACAGTCTTTCCTGCCCGGGCTGGCTTTGAACCGCGATCCTCAGATCTCAGCCTCCTGAGTAGCTAGGATTACAGGCGTGAGCCACCAGCGCCCGGCAGTAGTGTAATTTTTTATAAAGATTAAGTTAAAACCTAACAAAATAAGTACCAGGAAATGGGTATTGGAAGAGGTGGGGCCAAGAGGAGAGGGGTAAAAAATTGAAGGGGGGCAGGGCGAGAATGCAGGCAAGAATTTACTATATGTACCACAAAATTGAGGAATATAAGGGAAGGAGAGGGTTGAAAGAGGAATGAAAATGTTGGACTAATAACATAGATCAATATGCATTGTACATGTAAATTGCTTTGTCAAAAGGCAAAAAATTAAGTACATAACCTAAAAGTAAGATAATTAAAGGAAGGGTGGGTTGAGAAATGTGGGTGAGAATATTGAAAGGGTCACATTGATCACGATGCACCATATTCATAAACTGCTTTGGTGAATGGCAATGCCTTTGTACAACTATTGAAAGATAATAAAAATATTCAAAAAACACAAGGTAACAAACAAAAAAATCTGTTTGACAATTTTATTTTTTAATATATATTTTTATTGTAAAGATACTGTACAAAAGGATTACAGTTACATGAGTAAGGTAATGAGTATGTTGAAAATAACTTTATAGCTTCAGGGTGGGGAAGGAGAAGTTGGGGAGGTAGGGAGTGAAGGGATGTTAGTAGAAAAACAAAGGAGGGGTAACAATATTTGATAGGAAATGTTTGACAATTTTATACTATGGTGATTTTTATTCTTGGATTGAAAAGAAAGCAGAACAGAAAATTTAAATACTGAAAACTGAATAATGAAAATTATAAACATCAAAATTTATGAAATCCAGTAAAAACAATACTTCAAGAAAATTGTAAATACTCAAATCTACAGAATCAACGATCCAATGTTTTTCAGTCTTGTGACTTCCACCTCAATACGTGACTTTTATACCATTTTGTAAGTACTCCAGAAATCATTCATGTTATTTTTATATATAATATCTTATCTCTATCTAGTCATATAGTCACAATGACAAAAGTTATTTGGGATGTACTATCACTGCCATACTATACTAATGAAAATAATATGAAAAATGTTAGCAGACAAATGGATAGTCTTAGAGAGAAAGACTTGAATAAAGAAACTTAATATACTACAAAATTGTCACCCAAAGTCAATGGAGAAAAGATGGACTGTTAGAATATGGTATCAGAAAGACTATCACCATTCAAATAAAAATAAAACTGGACCATTCCCTAGTACTAAATATAAATTGGGACAATACAGGGTAAATGATGTAAAGATGAAAGCTAAATGTATGAAATTAACAGAGAAAGAATATATGAGCTGGGCACGGGTGGCCACACCTGTAATCCTAGCTACTCAGAAGGCTGAGATCTGAGGATCATGGTTCAAAGCCAGCCGGGGCAGAAACGTCCATGAGACTCTTATTCCAATTAACCACCAGAGAACTAAAAGTGGCACTGTGGCTCAAGTGGTAGAGCACTTGTCTTGAGCTGAAGAGCTCAGGGACAGCTCCCAGACCCAGAGTTTAAGCTCCATGACTGACAAAAAGAAAAGAATATATGAAAATATATTTGTGCCTGGACAATACTTTAGAAATAGAAAACTGGGGATGTAGCTCACTGACATAACATCTACTTAGCATGTGCAATGCCCTAGGTTTGATTTCTGGTGCCACAAAAAAAGTAGACATCGTAAGATAAATGACTAAAAATTAACAAATTTGGCTACATAAAAATAATTTCTATTCAGCAAAGGATGCCATAAACACAGCTAATTGATAACAGAGAAAAGAGATTTCAATTTCTTTTTTTTCTTTTTTCTTTTCTTTTTTTTTATTTGGTCGGTCCTCTATCTCGAGCCATAACGCCACTTCCGGTTTTCTAGTGGTTAATTGGAGATAAGAGTCTCACGAACTTTTCTGCCCGGGCTGGCTTTGAACCATGATCCTCAGATCTCAGTCTCAAGTGGCTAGGATGACAGGCGTGAGCCATCCGTGTCCCTCAGATTTCAATTTCTTTTTTTTTGGTCCAGTCG